CAGCATGGCTGGCTGGGGAATTCTGGGAGTTGAAGTCCACACCTCTTAAAGTTGCCAAGGTTGAGAAACACTGCCCTGTATAATAAGACTGGCTAAGTTCTTTTTTACTTAGCAAACACATTTATGCAGCTTTTCCTTCCCAGATATAACATTCAGCACCATTAACAGGATCATTTGAAAAGGGGTAAAACCCGCATAGCCTTTGTTAAAATGCTACTGATTAGCAGCAATTATAAAAATGATGTCAAAAAAACAAACATTCTAAAGCCACACATAATTGAGACGTCCTTGCTTTGTGTATATAAAAAATGGACGCACACAGGAGTGCAAGTATTCTCTAAAAATAGACGCAAGGACCAGGTTCTCTGTGATGATATACATGGCTTTTAATCAGGTTTTGTTGGTGGGAAGATGAGGTATACATTTAATAAATGAAATGCATTAATTTTTAATCTTGGATAAAATTAATTTTTAATTCTTGGATAAAATTTCCATATCCCACTGGCTCTCCTGGAGAACAGCTGTTTTGGGTTCTTGCTATTTGGCCACTGTCTCAGCTGGTTCTATTTCCATCACACCGGATCATGCTAAGAATTGCAGTTTGGGGAACTGGTCCCTGATCTTATTTTATTCCTCCTCCTTTGCCATCCCTTTTTCCTTGTGTGTCATGATTTCTTCATTACAAGTGTAAGGGTAGGGACTGTCCTACAAGCAAGCCATTCTGGAAGGCTGTTGGCTTAAAGGGGAGGTAGACTTTTTAAAATGAATAAACCCTGGGTTAAGAACGCCCGGGGTACAGACGACCCATAGTTAAGAATGGAGCCTATTGTAGCAAAATTCGAGGTAAATACACAATGGTTCGAGTTAATTACACAATACTACTTATACAGTATTATGCAATGATATTGTTCTGGCGTACATACAAATTTGACTTAAGGACAGACCTTGGGAACAGAACTCATCCTTAAACGGGGGACTACCTGTATTCATCTCAGTACCTTATCAAGTCATGATGTAATTTTGGTCTTTGGTTCTTCTTGTAGATAGAATTCGACCCCTGAGTAAAACAAAAAGGCAAAACGTGTCACAGATGAAAAAGAACTGGTATAATTTTATTTATTTCTTTATCAAACAGACTGCAGATGAACCTTTTCATTGGCAAGCTAAAGAATAAATTTCTGATGCACCATACAGAAAAATCAATTCTTCCAAGCATAAGCAAAGATATTCCATCTTAGGCTCTGGTAGATCTAAACCAAAAGAGAGCATTTTCCACCTCTAGCAAAAAAGAACATGTGTCAGCCTGCATAAATCTACAGTATCTGGATCACTGTCTTAATAAATAGAATAATGTTCCCAGCTTTCTCTCCTTCCAGCTTTTAGGTATCCTTAGAAACCCCCCCCCCCCCCCCCCCACATCTCATATACTGAAAAATATATTGTTTTTCTTGTTCTTAAATAAATTAATTTGAGCTTGGAAATTGTCCTGAAGGCACAAACCTCTTTAAGGAAGCTTTTAAACAATTGAGCCGTGTTCATGTGTCACACTAATGGACTTGCCTTAGTTGTATCTTAGCATGTTGTGTAAACCCAGCCATTGCAGTTTAGAAATCATGGTTTATTGGCTAGTATCCTGTGAAACCCAGCCAACTGTGGTTTATTCAATAAACCATCATTAGAATGTAGCTTAGCACAATGAACCGATCCTATTAAACACTATTATTCACTATTTGCAGAAGATAGTTAGAGCCCAAAGTAAGTAGAATGCTGCACTGCTAGATGGTTACTGTTGTTGTATTATTTCATTCATACACTGCCATAATATAATAACAGTTGTAACTTCTCATGGCACTTGGCATTCCCAACAATTATGAAATGCAACGTGCCTGGTTTTGAGGAACTCCGATGTAGATATGGATGGCTTATAGTTAAAAAAGCAAGAACAGTTGACATAAAGAATCAGGTCATACCCACCCAGAAGGCCAACTCTCTCTAACAAGCAAAGCATTCTGGAGAGGTTCACCCATCACCCTGCCCCAAGGCCTGGAGACAGCCAGGTTTTCAGTGACTTTCTGAACATCATCAGGATGGGAGCTGTGTGGATCTCTGGGAGATAACGGTTTCAGAGGGCAGGTGCTTGCGGCAGAGAGAGCAAGGGCCACCACGTTAATTTAAGAAGGTCAGGCAAAATTCTCAAACTGAATTAATTAACTAATCCTAATTAAGCTTCCTTGCTTGGAATTTGCAGCCAGGTGGCCCAGCCTGGCTTTTCTCCATCAGTCTGGAATTATTTCTGCTCTTCAGCACGTAGTCTCGTGTCTTCTGTTATAGATTGCTTCCCCACCTTGTAATTTTGTTTGAGAGTTTGATGAAGCAGTTCCTTCTTCCTTAGTGCTTTGAATCATTCTGGCTAAGTAGGTTAGATTGATTTATTTAAGGATGGAGGTAGCTTTGCACGCTTAAGCATTTCAGTGGCATTTTCTGGGGAATAAAATTTGCTCTTGAAAAATCGACACTTACAGCCTTCTGAAGTTTTTCAGATTCTTTATAATAGCTGGACTCAGGTTGGAAGAAAGAGTTAAATCTGAAAAAGAACTTGAAGATGAAATGACAATGCATTTTGGCTTCAGATTTTCTTTTCCTTTTCCTTTTTCTTTTTTTAAGGACAGATGGATTGGAAGTTACTGAGCAAGACAGAGCTGTCAATCACAGGCAGCTTTGGAAACCTTATCGGGATAAAAAATGGTGTAAAAACACGAGCAGAAGATCCAAAGGGAGGTGAAAATAGGCTTGTCATGGAGTGAGCTGATAAAGAGCTTCTGCTTATCTCAAACCCAGTGCCAAGTGAAATGGTTTGGTGGGCTTGTTTGGAAAAAAAATTGAACATCATTGGAGGGAGATGATGACCAAGCCAGCTGAATTTTAAACACCATTAAAATATACAATTAAACACAATATGGTTGGAATGCTAAAATGAGGAGACCATAAAAGCAGCAGCCTGAATGAGGAGCTTGTAAACATCAAGATATGAAAAGCAATATATAGATTAAAATGATTAAAAGTGCTTGAAACTTTACCTAATGCCCCAAAATCATCAAAGGTAGTACCAGACGTACCTCAGTTTGAAGGGCATTCCAGAGACCGGGAAGTTCACTATCCATAATATTAATCTTTTCCTTCCTTTTTTATTATATTGTTATAAGACATACATATATATTATTTCAATTCAGTGGTATTTGTACAGTATTGACTGAGGATTCTTAGCACTCTAATGCTAAAATAAGACCATTAAAGATAGAAAAAGAGGGTATTATATCAGTATTAACTATGATTTAAAATGCCAATGTTAATAGGCATGAGATTATTTAGCTTTGCCTCCAGAACTGAATGTAATATTAAAAAAATGCTGCAAATTACATCAAAATATTTGTTCTACAATAAGGTTTCTGTCTTAAGCTGATTACTTACATAATGTTAATCTTAATTATAATGTTTACATTTATATTTTACTGATACAGTGATTTCAAAGCTTTGTGTTAAATTCTAATTTTTTGTCATTTTTCCATAACTGATAGTCCAGACTAGTGTTTCTCAACTTTGGCAACTTAAGATA